TAGAAATTAACACAGGTATATACTGTGTATACTGCCAAGTAAAGAGAAATAATTTCGGAGTTCGGAGTTTGGTAGGAAAAAAAAACGATTTTTGCATTAATTAAAGACTGTTTTTGTCATGGAGACTGCAGATATGATGTTGATGGCCATGATAACATTATTAAATCGATTAAATCTAATAATTACCATGCGCTTTATTGGCCACTTGGAAGAAATTTGCGTTAACTTTTCAGGTTAATTACCTTATAGTTACTTCACCGCGTACCGCATACCGCATACCGCGTACCGCGGCTTGCCGCCGCGGTTCCTGGTTACTTTACCGCCTACCGCGTACCGCGTACCACGTTCCGCGCTGTAAAATCACCCTTACGCTATTCCGATGCATGGGTTTGCACCCTTAAGCGGAGAGCACAGACTTTTGCATAACGCATAAACCATATACATAAAGAATTTGATTGGTCCACTGACTCATGCATAAGAAAATGGACCAATGAAATTCCTTATGCACATGCTTTATGCGTTATGCAAAAGTCTGTGCTCCCCGCTTTAGGCGAGAAACACACACTTTTGCATAAAGCATGTGCATAATAGAGACCCTCTACAGAGACTGGCCATCAGGCGAGTTCGGCATTTCTTAGCGAAATTCTACAAGTGAGAGAGAAATATAGGCCATTTCACTCTTTCACTCACACGAATATGTGCGTTCGTATTTGATCGTTTATTCAAGTTGATTTGAGTTGATTCAAGGTTGTGTTCGTGGTTTTTGCTCAGTACAAAATAATAACAATAAAAATGAGTGGTTGCACTGCACAATTTTGGAAAAATTATTTAATATCTGTCTTTAGTCAGGTTACAGTAAACATGTTTTAAATTATCAATTGTTTCCTAAAATTATTAGAAAGTTTGTCGTATTCAAATTAAGAACATTAAGTAAGAAAAATACTAATATTAATAGAAGATATGACAGTAAATCATTGGCAGTACACACCTTTTTTAAATAAATTTTACAAATGTTAAGTGTTTGTACTTTTGTCACTGATTTCCTAACCTTACTTTAATTTTATTTGAAAAAGATTTAATAGAATTAAGAAAGAGAGAATATTAAATATAGAAATTATTTAACGTATAAACAAAAAGAACGAAGACAATATAAGAGTCAATGTTTAAAATTTAATAACAAAGTCAAAAATTAAATCATAAATGTCAAAAAACAGCTATTATAACAAAGTTATTTAAAGATAAAGATGTATATAACTGACGATAAAACTTGACATGTTTTTTTTTATTTGACGTATATTATTTATATTGATGTAAAAAGCACGGTTTTAATATTTCTATAATATTTATCATTACATACTATTTACATTCCAAGTAAATGCAGTAATTGAAATTTCAATACGAGCGGGAATCGCTAGGAAATGGCGGACCAATCAAAAGTGGCCCCCTGATGGCCAGTCTCTGTTAGAGGGTCTCTAGTGCATAAGGAATTTCATTGGTCCATTTTCTTATGCATGCGTCAGTGGACCAATCAAATAGGGAGTTCTCATGATTTTTGAAAAATATAACATTTTATAATTTATATATATATATATCTTTAACTGCAATGTTTAAATAATTTTTAAACGTAAATTATGCAAGAAAATAAATAATAAAGTATTGCAATATTTGAAATGCCGAAGACGGTCCGGATATGACCGAGCTCTCCCGAACACGTTGTGACGTCACACTGCAACAACGAAACCACAATTCTTTACCAGGAAATTAATTTATTTAAAAAATGAGCAAATGAAACACATAAAGCTGTGTTCGGTAATAGCGAATCTGAGGCGTCGGAGTGCTCTTATGTTATAGCATATGTCATGTTCACTATAGAAAAAGAGCACTCCGACGCCTCAGATTTGCATTGCCGAACGCAGCAATACAATACGTGTTTTTTACCTTTGTGTAAAAGTACGACAATTAAAACACCAGGAAAATTGTTTTTTTTATGTGCCTCAAGCTGAAAATGTGAGAAAAAAGTGTTTTAAAAGTGCACATCGTATTGATGAACCAGGAAAATGGAATTATTTTTGTTGTGAAGATCATTTCGATGTAGGTATTATATAAAATGTGTTTTTTATGTTTTAATATTATAAATTTGTAAAAATATTAATTATGTTCGTAAAAATATCCAACATAACCTAAAACGTAAGCTAAAACATTGAATGTTAAATGTAAAGGTATTTTGGGAATTTGTAAAATTATTACATCTAAAGAGTTGCTTTTATTCCTCGAACTTCTGGAGCATTATATCGCTCATCATTAACAATGTATTCCCAAATCATAAATACCGTTATTTTTGGTAAGTTTGTCGAATCGGCTTTAATAAAACTTGGATCTAGTTCGTTTGACATTTTAATTTTGAAATTTATATAAAGAATTTTTAAGAGTTAATTTTGCTTTGACCACAGTATATATATCCTTAAGCGGGGAGCACAGACTTTTGCATAACGCATAAACCATATACATAAAGAATTTGATTGGTCCATTGACTCATGCATAAGAAAATGGACCAATAAAATTCCTTATGCACATGCTTTATGCGTTATGCAAAAGTCTGTGCTCTCCGCTATAGGCTGAAACAAAGACATAGAGAATAGACTGCGCGATCCGTGTGTCAAAATGGTCAACAAAAATGAGAGAGAGGGACTGTGGAAGACGGCCATCTCCCTCTCATTCTCTCTTCCATTACACCATGGAATGGAAAAAGATAGAGATGACCGTCTTCCACGGACCTTCTCTCTCATTTTCGTCGACACATTTTGATACTACATAGATACGGGATCGCGCAGTCCATTCTCTATGTCTTTGGGCTGAAATCACACGGTACGGAATAGAATTGCGGAATAGAGAGTGCGTCATTCAAGGAACCAATCGCTAGAAAGCAAAATGCGGAATAACGCTGATTTGTTGCTTCAATGACGCACTCTCTATTCCGCAGTCCTATTCCGCATCTTGTGATTTCAGCCTTAGTCAACATTATGTCGGCTATAATGAGTAATATATAAGTAATAATACTATATATAAGTAATATATGTCTACTTTTAGACAACTTAATCCTAAAGGCCGCAGCACACACTATTGCATAACGCATAAACCATATACGCAGGAAGTAAGATATAAGGAGACTCCACTCCGTAAAATAAAAGTGGACCCATTTTAGGTTTCGAGTTCAGCTTCCGATTCTGATGAGTGCGAGTAAGAGAAATGATCATTTCTCTTACTCGCACTCATTATGCGCAGCACTACTAAATTCACGAGCGCTGCGAGTGTCGAGAATCGGAAACGGAACTCGAAACCTAAAATGGGTTCATGTCTTGTAGACTGGCGAGACCGAGTGGAGTCTCCTTATATCTTCCTTCATGCATATACATAAAGAATTTGATTGGTCCATTGACTCATGCATGAGGAAATGGGCCAATGAAATTCCTTATGCACATGCCAGGAAGTAAGATATAAGGAGACTCCACTCCGTAAAATAAAAGTGGACCCATTTTAGGTTTCGAGTTCAGCTCCCGATTCTGATGAGTGCGAGTAAGAGAAATGATCATTTCTCTTACTCGCACTCATTATGCGCAGCACTACTAAATTCACGAGCGCTGCGAGTGTCGAGAATCGGAAACGGAACTTGAAACCTAAAATGGGTTCATGTCTTGTAGACTGGCGAGACCGAGTGGAGTCTCCTTATATCTTCCTTCATGGCACATGCTTTATGCGTTATGCAAAAGTGTGTGCTGCGGCCTTAACCTGCATTTCTTATTAGTTCTTATTCTAATATTAAAGAGGGGAGCACAGACTTTTGCATAACGCATAAAGCATGTGCATAAGAAATTTCATTGGCCTATTTTCTTATGCATGAGTCAATGGACCAATCAAATTCTTTATGTATATTGTTTATGCATTATGCATAAGAGAATCAACCAATCAAAATGCTTATCTTCTGTGAATTGGGAGGAAAAGAAGGACTCTGATTGGTTGATTCTCTTATCCGTCATGCATAAAGCTGGTTCTACATTGGACGCAAGCAGCAAATTGCATGGACGCAAGTTTGTTGCGACAGCCAATCTGAAGCGTTGATTTAAAAATGTAAGCTTGAGATTGGCTGTCGCAACAAATTTGCGTCCATGCAATTTGTTGCTTGCGTCCAATGTAGAACCAGCTTTATGCGTCAAGCAAAAGTGTGTGCTGCGGCCTTTAGTGAGATTTTGACCACACCCTATTAGTTGGTTTGTTAATGTAAAGAGGAAACAGAAGATGTCAAAGAACGTATTTGATTTATTGGCTCGAATTAACTAGTCGATGATTTGTTTTCTTTTTTTTATACATTTCATGAAGTTTTATATAGATTTACTTTTCTTTCCTAACTAAAAAGAACAGACCATTGATTCCAGAGCCGATCGAGTCAACAAATCGAATATATGCTAAAGAGATGAAAAGAGATTGCTGTGGTTTATTGTGTCTTTTTAGAAAAGAATTCGAAGAATTACGTTACTAATTTAATCAGGGTGTATCAGACTCGTTAAATTCGTCCCTTCATAAATTGTTAGATTTAAGTAAATAGTGAGCTAAAGTGTATTTGCCAATTTAATATTATTTCCATTTGTTCTCTCGGGTCAGATAAAACGGTGTAAAGTTTTCCAGGCTTATGAAAGTCGATTAGTTAATGCGAATGTTATATTATAACCTGTAAATTAACTTTCACAAGTATGGTAAGTCATCGAACTTTGATTTGTAAGTCTAAGTCCACAATCTTGCTTTAGAAGGCCTTAAACCGTAAATCGAAAGAGGTTAAGTATCATTAATTTGTAACTTTAAACTGTTTTTGCACAGTCTTTAGTTTTTAACTATTAGACTTAAATCATTCGAGCAAAACCCAATTTTTCTTAGCTTACGGCTTAAAAGTATAAGTTCTTTGATCATTATTTCATTATTTACAACTTATGGTCTATAGACTCTTACATTGATTCTATAATAAGTTTGTAGTTGGTAATCCTAGATCTCTTATCAATAAAGTTGACCAACGGACAACTTGTATGACTAATGTTGATTAGCTAATTTTACCAATTAAAACCAAAACTTTTACGATAGATTTATTGTAGAATCAACTTTAAAGCAAAGTTGTGTGAACTTAGTTAGCTATTAATAATAGCGTTCTTTTAATCATAATGATTATGGTTGTTTCAAGATAAGTGTGCTCTAATAACAATTGTAGATTTCAAATTTTAAGTAAAAATGTTTTGACTTCTTTAGCTAATGTCATCATACATGATCTTGCATGTATATGGATTTGTAGTATAATTGAAATTGTTAACCCTAGCTTAGTTCATATTGTTCATTTGATACAAGTACTAACAAATAATTTTCTATTGAATTATCTTAATTTCAACAATGTATTTAAAGAATGATGTATTAATTGATATAATATGAATAAAAATAATTAATTATTAATAATTTAAAAATATAAATAGGGCACAAATTAATTTAACGAATTATTTAATTCATATATTAATACAAAAGCAGACGTTTCAACTCTGATCGGGTCATTTTCAATGATACAAATATTGTACTTAAAATTAAATTAACATTTTTTCTATACAATCTTCCTATTGTTGAAAATCGTGGAAACAATGCGTTAAGTTTGAACATTCATAATTGCTTGTGTTTTATCTTTGATCCTAATAAAAAGTATATAAGTAAAAATTAACATTGTTCAAAATTCAAATACAAATATAAAAGTCTTATTTACCTTGTCAAAAATAAAATTAAAAAATGTTATATGTCCATGTGTAAATTTCTTCTGAGTCAATTTGTTATAAAATATATTTGAAGTAATAAAATAAGATAATTTGCAGCTGTCAAAACTGAATACATATCATTGTGAAAGTAAATAGGATAATGTCGTTGGAATAGAAAGTCAAAGGATGAAAAAGAGGAAAAACAACAAGGAAAGACGAATTTAAGATGAGGATAGGGAATGTATCATATTGGTGTACATTTCGGATAATGACTCTGTGTCATTTTGTCTGTTTATACCATGTGTCTGTTTTTTAATATGAACCATCTCAGATATTAATCTTTTTTTATAAGGTTCTATATCTAAGATTTCGACATTATCCCATTTAATTATTAATACTCATCATATAGGTATATATTCACATGTATTGCTGAAGTAAAGATATAATAATAATTCAATAGAAAGTTACTAATTAGTACTCAGCCATATCAAGTATACGATGAAAACTAGGCCATTAACACAAAGAAAGTTTTAACTGAATTGTGAAACATAAGCCATAGTCATAGGTCAACATACAATGTTTTGATCAATCTACAATTATGATTTGTGTTAAATGACTAAGGTCATCTTTGTGCTTAAACCAGAATCTACAAAAAAATACAGAGTACAATAAAAATACAGAGTACAATAAAATACAGAGTACAGTAAAAATTGTGGATGGTCATAGGATTTTAAGTTATAGGAAATTGATATCGATCATAGTTGATTATTATTCTCATAATATTTAACTATGATTGATCAATTTACTATGACTTAAAGACTCCACAACTATCTAAGACTTCTATTGTAAACCCTTCTATTGTAAAAACTACTGACTACTGTGATTATTGTGAAACTAATGTAATATTTAATATTTTTATTCTTGTAATTTGAAATGTTCTAGAGTCTACTTTTATATTTAATTGTTAATATTTAATATCTTTCATCATATTTATTATATTTATTTTTTACAGTCGGGTACATTAAAGCCCTATTTGACAGCAGTTAGACGTACACTTACTGCCGCTATGTGCCTGGAAAACTTCTCCTCTCAAATTGTAGAAAAACACAACAAGCCGGAAGTAGAAGTACGGGCAAGCAAAGAATTACTTTTAACACCCATCTTGATAAGTAGAAATGACAAGGAAAAAGTCTTGATCGAATCCAGTATAAATAGTATGAGAATAAGTATTGCTGTGAAACAAGCTGATGATCTAGAAAAGATTCTTTGTCACAATTTTACAAGATTTATGACAATGAGGGCTGAACATTTTATGATTCTCAGGAGAAAACCAGTAGAAGTAAATATCTGATAATAATTAAATTTATTTGTAAGCTTTTAAGCTTTTATGATCTATAATATTGTATTATTTATTTTTAGGGTTACGATATTAGTTTTTTAATTACTAATATTCATGTAGAACAAATGTATAAACACAAGATAGTAGATTTTGTTATTCATTTTATGGAAGAAATTGATAGAGAAATAAGTGAAATGAAATTGTCAGTTAATGCTAGAGCACGTATATGCGCAGAGGAATTCCTAAAAAGAGTAAGTATTCAAATGTACTGTCCATATCCTACTTAATAAATATTACCTTATTCAATATTGGGTTTTCTTTTCAGTTTTAATTCATTTATTATCGACTTTCCAAGGTATCTATTGGAAGAAATTATAATAAAGGATATACACAATAGTATTGTTCAATGGGTCGTACAATTTTTGGTAATTTGAACAAAAATGAAAGATTTTTTTTAGTATCTAGTGACATGTCCTTATTCACATACTATTTTAGATTGATTATTCTATAAAATATTAAATGAATTGATATATAAATCATCAATGTTAATTTTCTTGAAATATTATATAGAAATACAAGCAATATTAAAAATAAAAATAATTTTATTTAACTAATACAAATACGAAGCCCCTATAGTCAATTTGGGGGGACTACGTATATTAGTTAATTATTAATTTCATTTAATTCGTGATAGTACCGCAGTAGTTTATATGTAAACGATTAAAAGATTCAAGCTAGAATTTTATTTAATTTTTTATCAAAAAATGAATGATTTTTTATATATTTGGACAAGTTTTTTATTAGTTGATCAATTGTATCGTACGCAAATGTAATCTTATTTTGTCAAAGTTGCATTTGCGTATAATGCAATCAATCAATGAAATAAAAACACGTCCATAATCGACATATTTAGGGCCTGAGCACAAAGATAGTCGTGGATTGTCATAAGCCCGTTCTACAATAAGTCGTATGTCATGCCGTAAGAAATTAACCAATCATGGTCGATTGTTTTCAACTGTGATTGACCAATTTCTTACAGCACGTCAACGGCTTCCAACTTATTGTAGAACAAGTTTAAGCCCGGATCTAATAATAGATTTTTAAGTCTTAAGCCATAAGAAATGGACGAATCATAATCGATTATTCTCCTCGAATTCGACTATAATTAGTTAATTTCTTACGGCTTAAGGCTTAAAACACTTATTGTAGATCTGGGGTAATAGTTTTCGACAGTTTTGAGTCAACGCACAATAATTATAAAGATCCTTACGGCCTATGACATGTTTATATAGATCCTTGCGTTGACTTACGATTCTGTCGGAAACAGTTATGGGCTTTCTACAATAAGCCATAAGTCATAATCCGTAAGGCCAATTTCACCAACGTCGGTTAAGCTAACCGACGATTAAAGTGTCAACCGTGATTGGTTCATTCTGGTCAAAGACAAATGCGATTGGATAATTCTATTGGAATTAACCGTCGGTTAACTTAACCGACGTTGGTGAAATTGGCCCTAAACCAGTCAACATGTCAACTTCACGATTTCTAGGGGAAACCGTATGAATGCTCGGTCTAGGTATATATATCGTTGGCCAAGGCCTAAGGAAATTAACGTTGTGGATTTGCTACTGCTTAAGCCCATGACACATAGAAAAACGTAAGGCCGTAAACGTAATCAGTAAGCGAATTGACCAATCATAGTTGAGAACGTAAGCAGCGACTGTTATGGCACTTAAGCGGGGAGCACAGACTTTTGCATAACGCATAAACCATATACATAAAGAATTTGATTGGTTCATTAACTCATGCATAAGAAAATGGGCCAATGAAATTCCTTAAGCGGGGAGCACAGATTTTTGCATAACGCATAAAGCATGTGCATAAGGAATTTCATTGGTCCATTTTCTTATGCATGAGTCAATGGACCAATCAAATTCTTTATGTATATGGTTTATGCGTTATGCAAAAGTCTGTGCTCCCCGCTTTATGCACATGCTTTATGCGTTATGCAAAAGTGTGTGTTGTTCTTGGTAAGTGGGGTTCTTACTGTTATGACAGTTATGCAATCAAATTCTTTATGTATATGGTTTATGCGTTATGCAAAATTGTGTGCTGCGGCCTATAAGCTTGATAGCCGCAGCACATACTTTTGCATAACGAATAATGCATAGTCTATAAGAGAATGAGCCAATCAAAATGTTTCTCTTCTGTGAAATGAGAGGAAAGGAACGATTATGATTTGTTGATTCGCTGATGAATTACGCGTTATGCAAAAATCTATGCTGTGGCCTTTAAGCTAACTTTTCATGAGTAGAATCCTAGATATCAGAGAAGCGCAACCGGCTTAATTCAGTATCGCAAAATTACTAAAAACAGTGTTAAAAATGGCGTCGTTTGCAGACGAACTATGAAATCCACCAATCGTCTATTAGTTAGTTTTAATACCAATGAATGAATGTCATGATTGGCTGACAGTCATCAGCCAATCAGGGCGCGGAACATCGGTTGCGCTTCTCTGATATCTAGGACTCTATCCATGAGCAGCACGCTGCAATAGTAAAATGTTATTGGTTGAAAATTTTTGTGGGGTAACGCACTTCCAATCAAAGGTTCAATTCTGTATTTTAAAACAAAATTAAAATTACGGAAGTGGACAAATTTACTAGATATTAACCAATGAAATTATAAATATATAAAAGCATTACAAATATTCCAGTAAATTCGCTTATTTTTATAATTTTCACGTCGTTTCAAGATACTGAGTCGATCTCCAGTTCTTGAAAATTTGAATGCTATGATATTTTGCTACCATATAGCGTTTTCCACTGGGAAAACTGGTGCAGCACTAGCGCCGTGCGCTAGTATTTAAAAAATACTTTTTAAATATGGTATGCTGATTGGGTAGCACGGCGCTAGTGCTGCACCAGTTTTCCCAGTGGAAAATGCTAATAGATTCTCCTAGTCATAAATTCCACGAATTGTCGCTGGACGCCGAATATGTATGTATACTACATACTACTAATCTCAATCATCGACACGAGGTATTTTTTTCTCAATAATTAAAAGTAGTCCAGAAGCGATACGCGACAAGTAGACATTTTACATACATAGATTACATTACACATCAATACGAAAGAATGCACGTCAGACATCTGTAAAAATCAGGTGATTTTACATGCAGCGCGGAACGCGATACGCGGTAGGCGGTAAAGTAACTAGGAACCGCGCGCGGTAAGCCGCGCTAATTTTCTCCTACTATTACATGGAGCCAAAACTACGCGGAAAAGCGGCACGGACTAGTGACAAGTTGACGTTACTATGCACTTTTTAATGAAATTAATAGATTTAAATGCAATTATTAAGCAGATTCGTTGAAAAAATAAGTTTATTGATAAAATGTGCATAGAAATAAGTTAATACATTTAAGAAAATGCATACAAATGTAAACTTGTCACTATACCGTGCCGCCTTTCCGCGTTCCATGTAAGGGAGGGTTCACACCTTGACGGAAAAACGGAAAGCGGAAAAGCAGTAGCCAATCAGGTAGTTAACTTTCTGTTAGTTTTGTACTATTTACTACCAGAGCGAGTTCTAATCGGTTATCTGCTCTTCCGCTTTCCGCTTTTCCGTCAAGGTGTGAACCCGGCCTAATAGTAGGAAAAAAGAAAGGCGGAACGATAACGACATGGTCGGCATCGGCTCGGTCGACTGGGTGCATAACTAGAAATTAACACAGGTATATACTGTGTATACTGCCAAGTAAAGAGAAATAATTTCGGAGTTCGGAGTTTGGCAGGAAAAAAAAACGATTTTCGCATTAATTAAAGACTGTTTTTGTCATGAAGACTGCAGATATGATGTTGATGGCCATGATAACATTATTAAATCGATTAAATCTAATAATTACCATGCGCTTTATTGGCCACTTGGAAGAAATTTGCGTTAACTTTTCAGGTTAATTACCTTATAGTTACTTCACCGCGTATGTATACCGCATACCGCGTAGCGGTTCCTGGTTACTTTACCGCCTACCGCCTACCGCGTACATACCGCGCTGCATGTAATCGCACCCTCATGCATGACGAAATAAAGGTGCTGGTTTCTATGTACGGTAAAGAAAAGATGAGAGAGGGGCGATAGTCGATGAGACGCGTCATTGCGCGCGTCGAATCTGGTCACATCGGGAAGCATTCTATAGTGAGACAGGTCGTTCCGCTTCACTCTCGAAAATTTCTTCTACCTCCTTCGCCCCTTTCTTTCTCTCTCTTGTTTGATCATGTTTTCGCGAAGAATAAAGTAATCAAGTTTGATTTGAGCTGATTCAAGCGATATCAACAGAACATCAAGAGTTATATCAGTGTGCGATTTGTCAGACGCATTAGTGTCGGTAGAAAGGAAAAGTATCAATGTTATGAAACGCGATCACGGAGAGTAGTGGCGTATTTGGAGTGACCGATGAGATCTGTGATAATGATGCGATCCGATCGCAGTTTAGCTGTTCCATTCACTTATCGACAGAAGATGAAATATCATCCTGAAGAAGAAGCAAGTTGCCTGAACACGGATGAATCGCGCAGTTGACGCGCTCGTAGATGCTAGTTAAAGAGGTTATCATGGTTTGAGCTAGCTGGAGTGGATGACCAGAGCGTGAATGTGTTGCAAGAGGCGAGTACGTTGCCGTCGTCGTCGTGGTCGTCGTCGCCGTCGCCGCCGTCGTACTGTGGAAACGACAGTGATGCTCGATCAGTAGGCACGTCGTTTGATGTGAGGCCAAGATTCCCGTGATGTGTCTGTACAAGGGTGCCCGGTCGAAGCAAGAAGTAGTGGAAAGGAAGCGGGGCAAGAAGATGGAAGGAGATGCCGCCGATTTGAAGACGCCGGCACGTTAAATTGCGGTGGCCTAAAGCCCTCGCTCTCTTGCTTCTTGGAAAATGAACTCCATGCTATATACTCTTTATGGGTTCGCGATATTTTTTATGATATTCTGGTCGGGTATGTGGGTGGTTCACGTGCTGGCGTTGATTGCTGGTCGTTGGAAGCTGCATCGGAAGATGAATCAGGCATCGAGCTATGAAACACCGTTGCCGGGAGTGTCCGTGATAAAACCCCTAATGGGTGTGGACCCAAACCTTTTTGGTAACCTCGAGACCTTCTTCACCATGGAATATCCCCAATACGAGCTCCTGTTTTGCGTCGAGGATGATTCCGATCCCGTGCTGATGTTAGTGCGCAAGCTCTTTGAAAAGTATCCGGAAGTCGAGGCTACGCTTTTCGTTGGCGGTTGTAAAGTAGGGGTAAATCCAAAGATCAACAATATGCAACCGGCGTACGAGGCCGCCAAGTACGAATTTGTGCTAATCAGCGACAGTGGCATACGCATGAAGGAGGACACTTTATTGGACATGGTCCATCATATGACGGACAAAGTGGCTTTGGTTCATCAGATGCCATTTACTTGCGATCGCGAAGGTTTTGCCGCCGCCTATGAAAAGATTTTTTTTGGTACGGTGCAGTCACGGATGTACCTGGCTGCGGATATGCTGAGGATAAACTGTCATACCGGTATGTCAGCACTCCTGAAAAAATTCACGTTAGATGAGGTCGGTGGTCTGAAAGCGTTTGGCATCTATCTTGCGGAGGATTTTTTTTATGCAAAATCATTGACCGATCGCGGCTGGCGTATCACCGTCTCCTCGCAGCCGGCGCTACAGAACAGTGGTCATTGTGCAGTCGATTCCTTCCAAGCGCGACTACGACGATGGGCCAAATTGAGGGTGGCGATGCTGCCTACCACCATTGTTCTCGAACCATTAAGTGAATGCCTTGTTCTGGGTGGGTTTGCTTCTTGGGCGGCCAGTGTCCTGTTCGAGTGGGATTCTTTAGTTTTTTATTTGGTACACATACTCTTGTGGTTTATGTTCGATTGGACGTTACTGTGCGTAGTGCAGAATGGTCCATTGCCTTTTAACAAACTTGAGTTCGTGTGCGGTTGGTTGCTCAGCGAAATCACGAGACCGTACCTTTTTCTTCAGGCTATTTTGGATCCTCTCATACAATGGCGTTCACGTGTTTACAAGCTCAAATGGGGTGGCATTGCGGAGGAAGTTAAAGCGAAAGTCAAATATTAAGAATTTATGCGTGAGTGTATACGTACATGCGTACGTGTCAGCTAGATACAAAATAGAGTCAGCGTTTCTCTTATTTTCTTTCTTCTTTTTCAATCGATAAACGCGTATGTATGTGAGGTGTTCTAATCATCTTGAGATATTTTGATCTTTTCTTAATCTTTTGATAAAATTGTTAGTCTTTTAATTTATAATTTTTATAAATTAAAGATAAGAATTAATGCTAAAAAGTTAAATAAAAATGAATAAATTTTTATTTTACACAAAAGAATTTATCTTGAAAGAATTGCCATTCGATAAATTATCAAAATACTGATAATATGAATAAGTTTTATTTAAAACTATTGGTATTAACAAAATTATCATGCAAAAAAATATTTTACTGCTCCAGAATTTTACTATTTTTTTTGTATTTGGTAGAAAATTATGTATTGTGCACATAGAATTTATATCATAGTATTTTAACAATATATGTAAGAAATTTTAAGTCTCATAATTATGGATCACTATTAAATATGAATCATAGTCACAATCATCTAATTAAATTAACATTGCAGAGAGATTATCTTGATCTTGACAAATGGTTCAGATATAAATTCTATCTCTGTTTCATCTATATTAATTAGATGCAAAATTTATCCAAAATCGCGCAGTGCTTGCTAGTCATTATCTATTTTAGCTAATTTTTCGATGTAACTGCAAGATCATTTTTTTCAGTGTATATAAAAAATACATATTGTGCTTTTCTTTCTTATTGATTTCTTTTTACGAAGACAATGCCATGTTTTCAAATACGATGAAATTTTTAAGGTATTAGGTTTGAAAAAGAAATATATATAATTACATAGACAAACGTCTTATATTGTGCATTTTTTATATTTTTAAATAAAGTCGGCAGCACATAATGTTTGTTTTTTTATTAGATTCCACTAGCTGGGTTACTCAGAAAAATCTTTTGTAGTCGCAACAAAAATTTTATTACAATGACAAAATTCGTTTGTCAATATATGATCAACATTTTATCCTGTTGAAAATTCCAAAAATTTTGTTAACTTGAATTTTGTTGTAACAAACATTTTGTTGCGACAACAAATCTTTTTGCTTGCGTCGCGCGTTTCGTGGATGCATATAATTCAAATTTTGTTGCCATAATAAAATTCGTTTGTTATCACAACATAATAGGACCAAAAAATATTTTGTATTGTAAACAAAATAAAAGTAACGAATTTTATTTTGTTAACAAATGTTTTTATTAAAAAAGAACAAAATAATTTATTAAATATATTAAATAATTTTACTGACAAAATCAAAATACAATAATAATGATATACAAGAAGACTCATGTAAGAGTTTAAAAACAATAAAAGAACTTTCGTGATTAAGTTATTATAAGTGTATTAAATTTAAATATAAAAAACAACAAAAAAAATAATACGTTCCACGCTACAAAAATATAATACATTACACATCCTACATGTTCCGGTCTTATATTTAAACCCTCTTCAGATATACAAAAATTCTAACGCAGCAAAGTATTGAACTTAAAAGTTGAGAAGTCGACGGTTTTGTTAAATAATCAAAAATTGAAAAGTCAAAAATGTTTTGATAAAATCAAAACATTTTTCTGAGTGTAGAATCTTGTCACATTGACTACGATAATACTGACAGTGCCAGCATCGCGACCAATACGATGCACAGTGGTCCAATCGCAGTTCGTAGCACGAAAAAATTATAAATTTCTTGTTAAAGCTTTTACATATATCATTTACATATATCATTTATTTTAGATCTTATCTCTCTCAGAACACAATAAAAACTATTAATTATGATCAGTTAACATTTATATATTAGGAGTACAAATTAGTTCGGTCCGTTTTCCAAAAGATGGGCTCCGGCTGTTGTGAATGGTTCATAGTGACAGCTGATTTTAGCAGTTTTAGAGAGGTTAGACATCTGCTAATAATATTTAGTTTATATATCGCTTTGAGTTTCATACAAAAACCTTGATTTTTACTGTGTTCGAAATGTGTTCGAATTTTGTGTTAACCAAGCAGCATTTGCGGGAGCATTTAATTTTTTGCTTTAATTGGAAGAAAAGTGCAGCTGAAGCCCATCGAATGCTTGTCGAAATTTATGGTGACACTGCTCCAACTGATAAACCATGTAGGGAATGGTTTCGACGTTTCAAGGATGGAGATTTCAACGTTGAAGACAAGCCTCGCTCTGGACAGCCAAAAAAATTCGAAGACAAAGAATTACAGGCATTACTCGAAGAAGATCAGAGTCAAACGCAAGAGGAACTTGCTGAATCATTGGGAGTAACTCAACAAGCCGTTTCTGTACGATTGAGAGCCATGGGAATGATTTAAAAACAAAGAAATTGGGTGCCTTATGAACTGAAATCGAGAGACGTTGAAAAGCGATTTTTCACTTGGAAGCAGCTGATTCAAAGGCAACAAAGAAAAGGTTTTTTTGCATCGGATTGTGACTAGAGATGAGAAGTGGATATTCTACGACAACCCCAAGAAGAAAAAATACTACGCTAAGCCCGGTCGATCGTTGCCATCGACCTCAACATAAACACCAAAGCCGAACATTCATAGTTCGAAGATCATGCTCTGTATCTGGGACCAAAAGGGTGTAGTTTACTATGAGCTGTTGAAATCTGGCGATTTCATTACGGGCGATCGGTATCGGCTACAATTGATTCGTTTGAGCCGTGCATTGCGAGAAAAACGGCCGGAATACGAACAAAGACATGATAAAGTTATTTTCCTTCATGACAACGCTCGGCCTCATGTCGCAAAAGTCGTAAAGAAATATTTAGAAACGCTCAAATGGGATGTTTTACCGCACCCGCCGTATTCTCCGGACATATTGCTCCTTCTGATTACTGGTTGTTCCGAAGGATGCAGCACGATTTGGCAAGTCACCAATTCACTTCTTTCGCAGAAATCGAAAATTGGCTCCAAAATTGGATCGCCTCCAAAGACGAGTCATATTTTTTAGATGGAATTTGAAAATTGCCTGAGAAATGGGAAAAAGTAGTAGCCATCGATGGGCAATACTTTAATTAATCTGCTCATTCATTTTGTTTTGAAATAAATAAATTTTTGAACACGAAAAAACGGACCGAACTAATTTGTACTCCTATATATACTATATATTTTAGATAAATAATAACGGCGATATTAAACAATAATATAAATGATTTGTAATATAGAATAATTATTAATAATAAATAATAAGTATGTAATAAAAAAATTCTATAGTAACATTATAAAAATATAAGTATTAAATCGCTTGTTATATTATAAAAAAAACAACAACAAAAGTAAGGTGTTAATATTCGGTATAAACATTAATGACAGTATTAACAAAAGATGGCAATTAATAAATAAGAATACAACAATTCCCCTTGATGAATTTATCAAAGCAATTAATTTTATTTTTGACTCTACGTATTTTACTTTCAATAACAAAATTTATAAACAAACTTATGGAACACCTATATGGGGTCTCCATTGTCTCCGATATTAGCACATATTGTTATGCAAGATTTGGAGGAAATTGCCTTAAACAACTTACAATTAAATAATTCATTTTACTTTCGATATGTTGACGACATTATCATGACTGTTCCTAGGGATTTGGTGAACAAAGTCGTAGAAACTTTTAATAACATTCATAATAGACTTCAATTTACGGTAGAAATTGAAAATAATAGATTTTTGAATTATTTAGATTTAACAATAAAAGTAGATAACAACAAATTAAAAATAGATTGGCATCATAAGGATACGTTTTCTGGTAAATGTTTATCTTATTTATCAAATCATCCTTTATCACAGAAGATTGGTGTCATATATAACATGGTTGATAGAGCATTATTACTATCTAATTATTATGAATTTCATACTAAGAATATTGAGTTCTGCATTGTAACGTTATTAAATAATAATTATCCTCTACAATTAATTTTTAGTACAATACAAAGAAGAATTGAATTTATTTGTAAATGTAAATTAATTGGAACACATACTGATAATAGTAACTGTATTGATCTTCCTAATAAAAAACTCTTTGTTGTACCATTCATTCCAAATATCACAAATTATATTACATCTAATTTAAATAAAGAAGTTTTTACAGTAGGACTCAGGAGTATTAATAAACTTAGTAGTATTATTAAAGTGCATAAGGACAATACAGATACTATACAAAAGAATAATATAGTTTATAAAATTAATTGTAATGATTGCAGTTTGTCTTATGTTGGACAAACTAACAGAAAGTTGATCACAAGAGTAAAGGAACATAAGCGCAATTTGAGAGGTGATCCATTGAAATATTAACATTCCAAATATCACAAATTATATTACATCTAATTTAAATAAAGAAGTTTTGGTAAACCTTTACAAAAGGGGACCACCCTCCGATGACCTTGACCTTGACATATGCTGTCAAGGTCATGACCCTGAGTAACCTCCTACAGGTTTTAGCCGTCGATCGTATTTCGTTAAAAAGTTATTAACAATCATAGTTCTAAAATATACGTTTCATTTCTGCTATATACGTAATGGAAAAATTAGACAAAGTATATAATATTTTGTTTTGATATATCTCACAATAATAAATAAGTTTGACATTTAGAATTGCTAAAATCATAATTTCCTTTATTCTTCTGACAACTGTCTTTTACACACAATGTATCTCTGTTGTAATAACATAATAATTTTATTGAAGAAAAGAAAGTTGCACATGGGCATCTGAAATTTACGTAAGTTAGATATACCTTCAAGTTTAGTTTGGTTTTATTTATTCAACAACAATAAGTGAACGACCCTTACGAGTAACAATTAGATCTTAAAAATTAAAGAATTATAAAATTTAATCTTAATATAAACTTACATAAGACGTCAATTAGATCTTAAAAAATAAAAAAATTATAAAATTTAGTTTTAATATAATCTTACATAAGACATCATACATGAATATTCAAA